TATAGGCGCCATCCAAACACATCCTAAGTGCGCGCTCTCGGGCTGACTCTAAAATTAACCATGCACATATCTAGAAGAAGAAAAGAACATACGGGCAAATAACTTATTAAGGGGTTGTTTGATTTCTACCCATGTCAGCCCTGCCAAATCGTTGGCACTGTTGGCAAGCCCAAAAATTGGCAAAACGATTCCGTGCCCATGATTCTACCAACGAATTGGCGCAAAAGGAGGGAAAGCTGAGACGGGGCTGGCATGCAATTATTTGGATCCGATCCAAATGCTGCCACTAGGCTAGTCAACGACCAATTTTTTGGTCGGGCAAGTCACGGCAAGACGTTCTATGTAGTACTCTCTCGGACCCTTAATTTCAACGCCGAGTCATCTTAGTCCATTCCATCTACAAAGAAAACAACAACGAGCTGTCTTCATTTAAATATGTCTTTTCTTCTTCTTCTTAGAGCTAATGCCACTCGGGCACGTAGACTGTAATTGAGTTATTAACATCTGAAAGGGCGACTGCTCTATGTACTTTCGCAGGTGTTAGTTAGTGTCTGGGACCCTTAATTCCAACGCCGAGTCATCTTTGTCTTCTTCAAGATAAACAACAATGAGTTGTCTTTCTCTTAAGATATTTTTCTTTCCTACAAAGCGATGAATGCCAATGCCATGTGGGATGATTAGTCCGTTTGGTGCATATGAGACCACTAAGCTTTTGGGAAGCACCGAAGAATTCAGCTTGCTAAATGGTAAGTACGTTGCTTTCAGTCGTGCTTTCATCCAGCTAACTACGTGATCATTAGCACAGCTTCTATCATTGTATCTAAAGACATTGATTTCGATAGTAACATAGCAACAGAGTACAATTCTCTTTCTTTAGCATAAGAGAGTGCCATTGAAGAAAATTAGAGCACCATTCAGAAACACCCACCTAGCATTTTTAGACGCTGCCCGCTCCCGCGTCGCCCCCCGCTCGGGCAACTCGGGTGGGTCCCCAACCCTAGCCCCCGCCGGGGTCTAGCCCATCTTCCTCCCCTCCTCCAGCCGCCGTCGGAGGACGCCGCCGGCTTGCGCCCGTAGGCCGACGGTGGTGGCGGGGGTTCTTCCTCCCTCCGTGTCTCAGGGATGACGGGGCCCCAACATGCGTGGAGGTGCGGCCGATCTAGAAGCGACGGCGTTGGCTTCGACGGCGGCGGCGGTCGGCCATGCCTCGGGCCACGGGCGGCTGCTGCGGCGGTTGGCCTGGATCGGGCGGCGGCGCGATGCGGTCTTCGGCGGCTGGCCTGGATCGGGCGGCGGCGCGATGCGGTCTTCGGCGGCATGTCATCTGGCTTTAGATCGACGGCGGCGTCGAGGGCCTGGTGGACTACTTGGCGGCACCCATGGCAGATCTGTTCTGGCCGGTGTAGCCAGTGGTGGTGGTCATCTTCTTCGCCGGCGGTGGCCGGCCAGAAGCCTGGTGATCGGATCTCGAGATCCATCATCTAGTCCCGGCTGCGAGTTGGGGAGACATGGTTGACGGTGAAAACCGAGCAGACGGCAGGCGATGGCGGCGTTCTACGCCGTTACCTTGATGAAGGCATCGTCGTGTAACTACTGTCGACCCACTCGTGCTGCTCCGGGGGAAACCCTAGGATCTGGTGTTCCAGATCGGACGATGGCAGCACTGCACTGTCGTTTCTCTCTTGGGAGCATCGTTTGTGGAGCATCGCTGGAAGTCAGAGGCAGGAGGTGGAGCGGCTTCGTCTTGCACGGAGCTTCGGTGGAGATGTCAAGTCATGCCTGACCGACAGGTGCTACGCTTTGCCATGCCTGGTCGGCAGGTGCTACGCACGACAGATCTTCCAAGGTTTCAAGCTGTGTCGGCTGGTGGTACTTGGCAGCATGGCGCTGAGGTGTATCAGTGGCGACCGCGACGTGCTCAGCTGTTTGCGCGCAGGGAGGAGGTGCCGTTGGGCGCTGTGGTGGCGTCGATGATAGCTAGACCGAGCAAGGTTGATGCATCAGTACAGTTCTGAAGATGGAGCGGTGGCAGTTGGCGGCGGCGGCCTCTGAGAGCACGCCGGACCAGTGTGTGCCTCAGACCCGGCAAATGGCTAGGTTGGGGTCTCAGGTCTTAGATGTTAGACTTGGCTGCGATGTCTGTTTGGTATTAGGCTCAGGCTATCTGCGCCCCTTCATCAACTGGATAGGTGTAGGTGTAGCGTCAGTTTGTTGATTAGACGGCGGCTTTAGTCGTATTATTGTATGACTTTGTAAGGTCTTGTGAGAATAATTAATAAAATGACTGTATGCATCGTCCAGATGCAGAGGCCGGGGGTCATCCTCCTTTTTAAAAAAAAATAAGAGAGTGCCATTCTAATGGTACTTGGAAGGTGACTCCCTTATTAAGTTGGGAACTCGTACGTGTGCATGGTGTATACAAGGCTGACTGACTTTCTTTTAATCAATGTATGGTCTGTATTAGATTAATAGTAGGTTTTAGGAAGCCAAGCATTAACGAGAGCTTTGCAAAGCAACTTGGGCTTTGTGGCACCGAGTATTTTCCACATGCAAACAAGTCCTTGATAGCGAGGATCTCGGATAGGGGTCGCTTCACATTGGATACAACTAGATAATATGCATGGTCCAAACCCATAGCCACAAAAACAATTCTTAAAAATTACAACAATGATATAAGCCTCCAAATACTTGTCCAAGCCGCAACTGAACTTCTTATCATTACGCCAGCATAGATGTTGCCAACGGTGGACAACATCAAGAAAGGCAGTCATTGAAGGACGTAAAAAGACATAGTGATCAACTGTCCTTGAATCACCACAAGTAGATCCCCGTGTATGAAAGAGAGTGGCAATCGAGCCGGGTATAGTAGTGTGGGCATCATCCCGATCTAGGGAGACAACATAGGTATTATCACCAGACAAGGCCGACGACCTTGCTCGCAAAGGCTCAAAAGAAGAGGCAATTGAAGAAGACGAAAACGATGCATCGGCAAGCCGAGCCGACAAACAACACAAATAACCATCGACCAAGGACGTGCTTGCGCGTTCAATTTGGAGCAAGGGCTCATGCCAATTGGACGTCATTGGAGGATTATCGCTTGGTCGATGGGTGGAGTTGTAGAGTTACCACCCATGGCTGGTGGTGAGATGTGCACTCCATCATCATGTTGGTCCTGTGAAACATAGAAATGTTATTGTGCTCAACCCTGCCGCACCCTCTGTGATGATGTTCTTGCGCCTGGTTGCACTAGGAAGATGATGCTTGCCGGAGTGCGGGACTCCTTCAATAGGAGCTCGAATCCTTGAATAGGAGGATGATTACCTAGTTTTTTTTTTTGAGAAAAGAGGGGCCTCCTCCTTCGATTTCATTTAATCGCAGCCAGGGTACATCTTTGTCACAAATTACCAGACGATCTACGAATGATCACCGAGTAATATGTTTATGTTTTCTCTAAGTGGATGGTTACCGTTTTTGCAAGAAAATTTAGTAAATTCTTCCCTTCTCGTTTAATATATGATACACATGCTACGCGTATTCTAGACAAAAATTGTAAGCGTCGCCTGAACCGAGTCGCTTTCAGTTGAGAAGGTGTATAGAAAACAGCATGAAGTCAAGCTTACTAAAGTTCCTTCCAGTCGGTCCAACTAGAGCTTGCTACTTAATCACCAATTAAATAAACAATTAATAAATGTACCTAAGGAGCCGTAATTTCGATGCTATCATGACCATAAGGCGGTACTTTTTGGAAGGTGTCCTTTGGTGGTACTTTTTGGAAGGTGGCCTCGCCTCCCGGGCTCGATGGGTACATGCGTGTGCACAAGGTGACGGCTGCTATGCTCTTAAGAGCATGCTTGGATACGTTTTAGTCTCATGACTAAAAGTAGTGGGACTAAAACTTGCTAGTCTCACCCATGCTTGGATCCAAGTACTAAAAAGACTAAAATCTAGTTATTGAGCATTTATTATCCTCCAAACCCTCCAATCCAAAACTAAGGAGAGGAATTAAATGAGGAGAGAGAGAGCTAATACATATTTTAGTAGGTTTCCCATGACTAAAAGATTTTAGCCTCAAGACTAGTCCTAGCCTCTCTTTAGTCAGGGGTGCTTGGAACTTTAGCCTCTAAAAGAGACTATTTTTAGTCAGACTAAAAATAGTCCCTTGTATCCAAGCACCCTCTAATTTCTCCGGAGCCTCAAGGGAATGCTCACGGAAGCATAGCAGCACGTTCGTCTCCCAATCACTTGTAGCAACAGGCTACAGCCTACAGCCGGCATCGAACTGAAGACGGAATTCGGGCGGCGTTGATTTCCATGTCTATCCGGTCATTGATGCGTACTCCTTCCGATCGAAAAAACTTATTCCAACTTTCAAGTTTACCCTTAAATGAATGTATCTAGCATTAATTTGATGCTAGATATATCTATTTAAAAAACAAGTCTTTTTAGACGGAGAGAGTCTGTACGTAATAGCCATGTATGGACATGCATGACCGAGACCGACTCACGATTTGATGACTCGCAAACTTTCCTTGTCATGCCTGAGAAGCTGCCCTGCACCAACCCAGGCAAGACTTTGCGTTGCCCATTGCCTCCGGAAGGCTGGTAATTAACCATGGCTGTAAACTGAAACTAACCCCAAGATTAACGGTGCGATGCGCCGGGTGGCTAGCTAGCCAGCTTCCGGCCACCTTCCTGGAGCCTGCAAGGGACATTCTGTCCCGATGCGGCACTGCAATTCTTTATTTCTGCCGACGACAATAACTTTCAGCGATTTCTCTACGTAGGCCTGGCTAGCTGTAGTACATGGCTAGATTGCATTTCTTTAGAACTAGTATATATATGGCTTCAGGCTAGATTGCTTTGGAGTATCCCCATGGCCATTGACGCCCTATGCCTGCGTAGCGCGTAGCTTCCTTCCCAACCTGCAGCTAGCTTGCAGAGTCAGCTCCATTAATCTGCTAGCTCTTCCTGATTTCTCCCATTTCATCTGCTAAATTAAGATGTCGGTGCGAAGGCCCCGGGGCGAAGAGGAAGACGACGAGCAGGGGAGCGGAGGCGACTATCATCAGCAACGGCACGGCCCGAGGCGGATACGGCCGGCCGCGCCGCTCTCCTTCAGATCGTTAGTCCATTCACTTAACTTCTGGCTTTTGGAATGATTTTCAGTTCATGTTTCGATTTCTTTCCTCGTAGCTAGCAACCATGTATCTTTGTTTCTTGCTTCTTCTTGATCGATCCGAGTGCATACATAACGATAAATTGGATTAGCCGTTGGTTCTCCTTATATATTTCCTGAATCGTTAGGTGTAATAACATAATCTTTGGGTCAAGGGATGAAATATCATATGAGTTCATATCTTGAGAATTGTTAAGGTACACCCAATCGTCATGGGTCGTTAATTTCGTGTGTTCTACATATTGGCATGATAAACTCATATTACCTTAAAGCAGGTAATAAGTCACATAAGGTTAAGATGGACCTTGCTCTACATGCAAATAAGAAAATAAATATTTGGGACTTTGTTTTAGAAGAAAAACTCCCGGCCTCTGTATCAAAAGATGCACACAAATATTTGGGATGCTAATTAAGGATGGTACAAGTGAGACTAATTATGCTTCCCTTTAGGATGATCTATGTTCGATCTGTGAGACGCAAGTACGACACAAGGGTAAATGTCTTATCCAAACCAAGAGCTTGCGAAAGCTAAACAGATCCTATACCATATATCTAGCTCTAAAGAAATGTTTTTCTTCTACACCATTTCATTTGGCATGAAATGATTTTTGGTCTGATATATATGGAAGGTATTAATTTTACAGATTTGCTTTTCTAAAACAATATAACTAACCTATATAAGTAAAGAGCTCGTATGGACAAACTTAGCCTTGTAAGTGGGGAGCGTCACAAAGAGCTTATATATCATGGTTACATTGAATCAAACATCTCATGCCTCAACTCTTCTGAAAGTAATGAAATCATATTTTAGATATAGCTAAATCAAAGCAAATAATACTAACTAGTAAGAATTATAACCCGTCTAAGCCCTGTCTTTAGCTTAGTAACCAATTGTATGCTCTACACATAAGTTCTAAATATCCATATTCGTGGCTTGCACATGTGTGTTTTAGGAGTGTTAATTAACTTCGAGATTACTTGGATTTGTGGACTATCTTTGCAGCATGGTCGGAAGAGCCATGGCAGTGGACACTATCGAGCAAATTGCCATGAGTTTGGAACCGGTTATTCGTAGGGTGGTAAGCTTCAGAATCATATATATATTCATGTGACATAGATTAAATCATCTATTGTTGAGCCTAGTATTGCCACAATTCGAACTAGCTTCATTTATATCTCTTTACAAAGAGTAAAGATAAATGTAACACTAAAGCCGGGCTAAATAAAAACCCATTATCCAATCAGTTTGCACCCTGTTGATCCCTAATATTTATGCGAGCAACTGCTTATGAATTGGCACAAATTCTCATTCCTTTTGTTTCCAAAGTTGTACTATTGATCATCACATGCAAGACATTGAGTGCAATGTTTAAATGTCTATTTGATGTTAATATTTAGGTACGAGAAGAAATTCAAAACATCTTTTCTCAGCACGATCACTTACCACACAGGTATATTATAGTTATTGTCTTTCCATCAGACGCTACTAGCATTCAGTTACATAGCTTATATTCTGCCACTGTTGACACGATATGTCTTTTCTTCATACTTTTGCAGTCAACAGTCTACAGCCTGACCGGTTTTCTAAAATAATAATCTGCAACCTGTTCATATATTTCCTGGCCATTTGCACCATCCTATTTTCAAATATTACATGTTAAGAAGCAACACACATTTCAAATATATTCTTTGGCATCATATATACAGTAAAAATACTATTGTTTGACAATGAAATATTTTTTATTTAGCAAATTTAATTGTATGGATGTATCAATTCCATCAATTTGCTTCAACTATATGGGAATGCAATATCAATATGATAAAATCAACCATTATTAATCAGGTCTCTCCCTTTAAACATCCAAGAGGTCGATGTCTCGCCTAGGTTGAAGCTTTCCTTTGCAAAGAAGCTCATGCTACCTATCTTCACCAACAACAAGCTTGTTGATGCCACCAAGAACAAAATTGAAATCTGGCTCATGGATACTAGAACCAACCACCATATCACTCAAACAGAAACTAACGAAGGCTCTTCAACACTGAAGCTGGAGGTACTTGTACTAGATGGCGATTTCAGTTGCGAAGATGGCATGGGGTGGACGGATGATCAGTTTACTGCTGCAACCGTGAAGGCTAGAGAGGGTAGGAGACCACTACTTGTGGGTAGTACACTCAATGTAGCAATGAACAATCAAGGAGTGTCCATGATTAATGATGTGGCTTTCACTGATAATTCAAGTTGGATAAGGAGCCGTAAGTTCCGAATCGGTGTTCGTGTCATGGGAGCGAGCTATTATGGGCCAAGGATTCAGGAGGCAGTGAGCGAAAGCTTCATAGTGAAAGATCATCGAGGCGAATGTAAGTTTGATGCTCTTAGTTAATCAACCTTTAAGATCATTGTTATATGTTGAATGTGAGTTCCATGACTACATGTAGCCTTTTTGTTTCTTCCTACATACCATATACCTTGGCATACATATGTGAAGTAGTAAAACACTACATTAAACCACATTTCCTTCGTTTACTAGTGTACAAGAAGCATTACCCTCCTCTCTTGACTGACAATATATGGAGGCTCAAAAACATCAGAAAAGATGGACCGATTGACAAGAGATTGGAGTCCGAGGGGGTCAAGAACGTTCAAGACCTCCTGAAGCTTCAAACCGTAGATCCTGATAAGCTAAAAAATGTAAGCATGTCATAGTGGAAATTATGTGCATACTTCATTCGCATGGTACTAATTTTGATTATCTATTCCATATATTTTAGCTCGTTGGCATGTCAGATCGGCAATGGAGGACAACACTGAATCACGCAAAAACATGTAAAATGGGACGAAAAAGCTACATCTTCAAATTTGAAGGGTGTGATGTTATATTCAGCCCTATAGGTGAGATTTTAGCAGCAAGAATTGGAGGCCAAACATGCTCTTTGCAACATCTACAGCAGCAACAAATGGTACCTCATTCGCACATCAATTTGTGAAAAACTAACCGAACTCGGTAGTTTCTTACTTCTCCTTTATTCTTAATTACAGGTCCAAGTGAAGCAATTGGCCTCCAGGGCATACGAGCAATGGGATAAACTAGAGGAAGTGGTGGCAAATGATACAGAACTTGTTACATATGAAGGCTTGTCATCGTTTCCTCGGGGAAAACCCGGTTCGTCATGTACACTAGCGAGTGATGAAAGCATCATCAGCTCAGGGTCTCAAAGTGTCGAGTATCTTGGCAAGTTGGGATCTAGAACACCAACTTCCAATGCTACAATGGCGTCTAATAGCAGCAACTCCTTAGATTCCGTGGTAGCTATCCCAACTAGTGATGCTATGTATTGGATCCCAAGCATGGCCGTTGACGACGATCACTTTACTTGGAACAACTCTACTAACCTCGGTTGTTGGGATCAAGTTGATTAATTTTCCTCTATATTTTAGTAGCTAGGGATGCAAGATGAATGCTCATATCTCATATGTGCAAAGGTGGATAGAGAGTAATAATAAGATAGCTCATGACGAAACTCAATTATGGTTGTGTACATCACCCAGCGCAGAGGCTCGGGGTTTCCCTTCTTACAGAAGAAATTGGCAAAGCTTGGTTATTTAAACAGGGCCTCTGAAGCTGCCATAAAGACGACAACGAAAAGTGGAGGCTTATCAAAAGCAACTAGGGGGAAATTTTGGCACTTATCGATGATATTGAAAACAACGACGATGATGTCGATGGGGGGCCTTTTGGCATTTGTCCATTATGCATCTCTCAAGTACCGCACTCACATGTGGGCACTTCGTGCCTGAGGTGCCAGCACTCGCGGATTACATAGTGACATGAAATGATCCGGCATGAGCATCGCCGATATAGGAGGGGTTTATCGGCTCCTTGCTTGCAAAGAATGAAGATCCGGTGACACGGATGGTGCATTAACGACCAGAGTCGAAGTGGCATCCATGACGGGGCCCTCTCCCTGGTTGTGCACCAGTCTCCGGTGCTGCCCGGTTGATGCGAGAACAAGAATGGAAGATATCCATGACCCAAAAAAAGGAAGGACGAGAAGAAGGAAAAAGGGTTCGTAGGTGAGTCCACCCACTGGCGAGCTTCTTAGGACATATATAGTTCCCTCTAAGAAGGGTAGCACGCGAATGTGACCTAAGGACGAGCCATATATAAGGCGGACCTAGTGAGCCCTTGAGGGGAGAGAAAGAAAAAAAAACTAGGACATATCTACTTTCCTGGACAACTCCATGCACCTTCACAAGGCAAGGTTGGCTGTAATCGCTAGAACAGATCTCACCGATGATCCTCTAGATCCTCGGCAACCACTGGAATACTAAAGGTAGGAGAGGGATCTTACCTCCTCCCAGAAGGGTCTGAACCTGGGTAAACTTTGTGTGTTTCCTCCCTAAGCCCTAATTCGGTCGTCGTCTGCCCATATCAATAAATAGTCATCCATCAACGAAAATGTCGCACAAAACCAGTATACTTGGTGCACAAGGTAGGGGATGGTGCACGCAGATCAGGCCAAGTATATCACGGTGGCTTGTTTTGCCTCAGAACCCCATGAGCACACGACTAGCCAAGGCCCAACCCTCGGTCGTCTTTAGTACCACTACAGGGATGCAGGGAATCGACCAACGGGCAGGTATTCCATTTCGGACGCCTATATTTCCGTGTGGATGCCTGAAGCAAACTGTGTGGCTACAAAGAGCACTTGGCCTCGGAAAGTGCCGGGAACCCTACCCCGCAGCCCCTGATGAAGGGGCCATGAAACGGTGAAAATACGCCTCTAAGGGCCCGGGATGAACGACTGGACGCATAGCGGAATACTGACCTTCCTCTATCCAGGAGATGGATCCTTCATGGTGTTGGGAAACATAGTAGAAAACAAAAAATCATCCTACGAACACCGAGGAACAATATGAAGGTGCATTAGAGGATTGGATCATGATTGTTACCAACTCTGAGTTGTAGCGGAAGCAGACGAGCCGGTGTAGATCATACCTGGAGTCCATCGTACCGCCAATGAACGATCCTATGAACCACCTTCGAGGCCCGGTTTTTGGTTTTTGTAATATGATTAAAGTAGACCCGGGGGCCATGGCTTTCACTAGAGGCTTCTCTCTGATAAAGATAGCATACGGTGGGTAGATAAATTACTGTTGGGCAATTGATAGAAAAGCACATAGTTATGGTGTTATTCATGGCAATGATCATGTATATATGCATTACGCGTGTGACAAGTAGACTGAAATGATTCTGCATCTACTATTATTACTCCACTTCAAGAGCACTTCTATGCTTGCTTCTCTATGTATTAAGTTCATAACAAACAGAGTAATGCATGGAGTATGATGATGTGATGTGGACGGAATAAAACCAAGCAATATGATTGAACCCCGTCGTTTTACCCTTAATGGCAACAATATAAATACATGCCTCGATACCCCTTCTGTCACGAGGTGAGGACACCGCAAGATTGAACCTACTACAAACCACCTCTCTCACTGAAGATAAATCAACCTGGTTGGCCAAACCAAACAGATAGATCGGAGAGAAATACAAAGCTATAACAACAATGCATAATAAAGTTCAGCAAAGACTCAATTACTTTCAATGAATAATCTAATCGTAAACACAGAATTCATCGGATTCCAACAAACACACCGCAAAAGAAGATTACATCGAATAGATCTTCGAGGAGAACATTGTATTGAAGATTGGAGAGAAAGAAGTCATCTAGCTAATAGATATGGACCCGTAGGTCTATGGTAGACTACTGACACATCATTTGTGGTGCAGCAAGGATAATGTAGAATCCCTCCGTGACTGATTCCCCTATGGCAGAGTACCGGAAAATGCCTCCAAATGGTATTGCAGAAGAGCAGAAGCTTGCGGCGGCGGAAAAATTATTTCGGATGGCTCTCTGTTGGTTTGGGAATTTATGGGAATTTATGGAGTTCAAATTAGGTCAAACGGAGATGCTTGGGACCGACGAGCTCAGGTGGCGTGATAACCCACAAGTATAGGGGATCACAACAGTTTTCGAGGGTAAAGTATTCAACCCAAATTTATTGATTCGACACAAGGGGAGCCAAAGAATACTCTCAAGTATTAGCAGCTGAGTTGTCAATTCAACCACACCTGGAAACTTAGTATCTGTAGCAAAGTATTTAGTAGCAAAGTAATATGATAGTAGTGGTAACGGTAACAAAAGGTAACAGTAGTAAAAGTAATGTTTTTGGTATTTTGTAGTGATAATAGCAATAGCAACGCTAAAGTAAAATAAGCGAAGAACAATATATGGAAAGCTCGTAGGCAATGGATCAGTGATGGAGAATTATGTCGGATGCGGTTCATCATGTAACAGTCATAACCTAGGGTGACACGGAACTAGCTCCAGTTCATTGATATAATGTAGGCATGTATTCCGAACATAGTCATACGTGCTTATGGAAAAAAACTTGCATGACATCTTTTGTCCTACTCTCCCGTGGCAGCGGGGTCCTTACAGAAACTAAGGGATATTAAGGCCTCCTTTTAATAGAGAACCGGAACAAAGCATTAACAAATAGTGAATACATGAACTCCTCAAACTACGGTCATCACCGGTAAGTATGCCGATTGTTGTCACTTTGGGGTTAGCGGATCATAACACATAATAGGTGACTATAGACTTGCAAGATAGGATCAAGAACACTCATATATTGATGAAAACATAATAGGTTCAGATCTGAAATCATGGCACTCGGGCCCTAGTGACAAGCATTAAGCATAGCAAAGTCATAGCAACATCAATCTCAGAACATAGTGGGTACTAGGGATCAAACCCTAACAAAACTAACTCGATTACATGATAGATCCCATCCAACCCATCACCGTCCAGCAAGCCTACGATGGAATTACTCACGCACGGCGGTGAGCATCCTAAAATTGGTGATGGAGGATGGTTGATGATGACGATGGTGACGTATTCCCCTCTCCGGAGCCCCGAACGGACTCCAGATCAGCCCTCCCGGGAGGTTTTAGGGCTTGGCGGCGGCTCCGTATCGTAAAGCGTGATGAATTCTTCTTTCTGATTTATTTCTCCTCGAAACACAATATATAGAGTTGGAGTTGGAGTCGGAGAGGCACCAGGGGCCCACGAGGTAGGGGGCGCGCCATAGGGGGGCAGGCGCGCCTCCCACCCTCGTGGACAGGTGGTGGGCCCCCTGGCCTTCATCTTTTGCAGGAGTTTTTTATATTTTCCAAAAAGTTGCTCCATGAAGTTTCAGGTCATTCCGAGAACGTTTGTTTCTACACATAAATAACACCATGGTAATTCTGCTGAAAACAACGTCAGTCCGGGTTAGTTCCATTCAAATCATGCAAGTTAGAGTCCAAAACAAGGGCAAACGTGTTTGGAAAAGTAGATACGATGAAGACGTATCATGGCGCCCCCTGGAGGCATGCCGTGTGAGCTCATGGCCCTCCCATAGATCTTCTGGCCTCCTCCCGAACGTTATAGGGTCCCTTGTAGTCCAGGAAAAATCCCCATAGAGTTTCATCTGTTGGGGAACGTAGCAGAATTTAAAATTTTCTACACATCACCAAGATCAATATATGGAGTTATCTAGCAACGAGGGAAAGTGGAGTGCATCTACATACCCTTGTAGATCGCGAGCGGAAGCGTTCAAGAGAACGGGGTTGATGGAGTCGTACTCATCATGATCCAAATCACCGATGACCGAGCGTCGAACGGACGGCACCTCCTTGTTCAACACACGTACGGTTGGGGAAGACGTCTCCTCCTTCTTGATCCAGCAAGGGGAAGGAGAGGTTGATGGAGATCCAGCAGCACGACGGCGTGGTGGTGGAAGTAGCGGTGATCTCAGTAGGGCTTCGCCAAGCTCAGCGAGAGGGAGAGGTGTCACGGGAGGGAGAGGGAGGCGCCAGGGGCTTGGGTGCGCAGCCCTCCCTCCCCCCTCTTTATATAGGGGTCCAGGGGGGCGTCGGCCCCTCTAGATCCCATCTAGATGGGGGGGGCGGCGGCCAAGGGGGGTGGCTTGCCCCCCAAGCCAAGTGGGGCGCCCCCACCCCTAGGGTTTCCAACCCTAGGCGTAGGGGAAGGCCCAAGGGGGGCGCACCAGCCCATCAGAGGCTGGTTCCCCTCCCACTTCAGCCCATGGGGCCCTCCGGGATAGGTGGCCCCACCCGATGGACCCCCGGGACCCTTCCGGTGGTCTCGGTACAATACCGGTGACCCCCGAAACTTTCCCGGTGGCCAAAACTGGACTTCCTATGTACAATTCTTCACCTCCGGACCATTCCGGAACTCCTCGTGACGTCCGGGATCTCATCCGGGACTCCGAACAACTTTCGGGTTACCGCATACTAATATCTCAACAACCCTAGCGTCACCGAACCTTAAGTGTGTAGACCCTAC